GTGCATGTGGCCGGCGCTGTAACCACTCTGCTATGGACGCCAAGCCTCTAAACCTCTTTTGAGTTAATTTAGGTGAGGGATTGTGAAGGGTAAAGGTCTCTGTCCATCTTTTTACCTATATACAAGTAGTTGTCTCAGGCCTGCTTGTTCAACACACAGGTGGAGTTAGGTGGGCTGCTCCCTGCAGAATTTCCCTCCCTCTGCAAAATTCTGCTTTGAGTATTTGAGCAGACGGGTCTGAGCCCACAGGACACACACACTCTCACTTAATGTTAGGTAATTGCCCCAGAAAAACCCCTGCCCCAGAAAGCCCCTTCCTGCTTTCAAACAGACCGAGACTAATTGTCTCACTCTTAAAGTTACAGCTCCTTTCAACAGGGAGTTGCCTGCTAAACATCTCCTATCTCCCAATCGTAAAACTTACCTCATCTCCCTGTCACAATTACCCGCTGAAAAATTCAAACTTATGGCCCGCCCCTCACGGCTCTTCCCGCCAGAGCAGTAAGTCCTTATTGGCTACCCTACCATCCCAGCACCATTCTGAGACATCCCTTAACCGAACCTATATAAGAGTGTGCTTCTCCTTTGATCTCACTCTCCTCCTCTCTCTTCTCTTCTCTCTTTTCTCCTCTTTTTTCTCTCCTCTCTTCTCTCCTCCTTGGTGCTACCCCGCAGCATCCCCCCCGCCCCCAATAAAGACCTTTCTACAAACCTTGGTGGTCTGTGAGATCTCTGCTGGTTAAGTGTCGCAGTCTTAGTTAGAGCTGTCCCTTAAAAGTTGTGCATAAGGATCCAGTGGAACAAGCTGAATCCCCGTGAACAGAAGAGAACCCACACTCTGTAAAGTAATTTAAGGGGGTTTATTCTGAGCCATATGTGAGGACCGTGGCCCGGGGCTACCCCCAAGAAGCCTTGAGCAAGTGGGCTCAGGGTGGTGGGGTTATAGTTTGGTTTTATACATTTTAGGGAGACGGAGATTACAGGGGAGATTGTGAGTCAATACGTTGAGCACATACGTTGGTTTGGCCCCCGAAAGGTGGGACAACTGGGAGCGGAGAGCTTACAAGTTCTAGGTGGGCTTAAAGATTCTTTAGCTGATAGGTGGCTGGAAGAGGGAGGCTCTGCCTAAGAGACCAGGAGTCAGAGGAAAGGAAAGCTTCAGATAAAGGGTCTGTTAATTAGGGACAAATTGCTAGACACTCCAGACCCACATGATTTGCTGTGTATATTGGGGACCTGCAGGTGTGTCTTGCAGAGTCTTAGGCCTGTTGGTGAGTCACAGAGGACGTCTCTAAGGAGGGCAGGGGCAAGATAGGACAGGTCTGATCTCTCTTATGGCTAACAACTCAGTTTTAGGGATCCCTTGGCCAAGAGGGATTCCAGTAAGTTGCTGGGAGAGGCTTCAGAGTTTTAGTTCACATCATGCAGGCAAATCTGAGGGGGTTCCAGAACTGCCCTATGCAAAGGCTTTGGAGAGTCCCAATTGCCTCTAACCGGGACTGAAGCACCAAAGACTATCTGAGAAATCTTCGTTTCAGGGAGACTCAGAAGCAGACTCTGAGGGGGTGTGAGGTGGGGGCAGTGCTTGTTACTAGAATCACTTCTCTAATTAGCTAATGAAAGCCAGCTGTCTAACCGGTTACGCAGGTTGCAAATGTTCAAACCGGTTTGCAAAGCTCAAGTAAAGAAACACATCCTAACCGGTTTGCAAAGCTCAAGTAAAGAAACACATCCTGGGGTCTCCAGGGGAACTTTAAACTTTCTTTTTTTATTAAGAGTCTCAAGCTGTTGCCCTGGGTAGAGAGCCTGGTGTCACAGCTCACAGCAATCTCAAACTCCTGGGCTTAAGCGATTCTCTTGCCTTAGTCTCCCAAATAGCTGGAATTACGGGTACCCGCCACAACGCCCCGCTGTTTTTTGCTTGTACTTGTTTGGTAGGTCCGGGCTGGATTCGAAACTGCCAGTTCCAATGTACGTGGGTGGTGCCCTAGCCACTGAACTACAGGCACCGAGCTGGGGTAGGGGGTGGGTTAAACTTTAATCGGCACTTCATAATTCCCCACTGCCACTCCGGGAGCCCTTGTCTTAGCCAAGTGTCAAAGGCCAGACTCGAGGTGCTAATATAAAGGGGGCCCCCTTTCAGCCCGTCTTCCATGCACCCTTTGGGCTGGCCCCCTTTCTTATCTAAGGCTTGGTGTTAGATAACACCCCCGTGGTGGAGAGGGTCTGGCCATCTGTCCCTGTCAGCCAGTACACAGAGATGAGGACAGGTCCACCAAACTTCGTTAGAAGGCTGGAATTCTGGAGGACAGTGAGAGTAGCCTCTCCAAGACGGTTCCCTTCTTCCATGTCCAAAATCACAGGTTTATACGTAAAAATTCAAAGCAAAGACCACACCAACCCCACTTCATATAATAATCAGCATAACTCAGTGATTTACTACAACACTGCAGTTCAAAACTTAATCTCCTCAATCACGGAAATTACTCAAGGTGGGCACCTTTCAGGTGGGAGCTAAATTTACAACATTGTTAAGAATGGGAGGCCAGGGGCGAAGGTCACTTAGACCTAAACTGACCAGACCAGCAGTGATGCATTCCATCTTTTATTTTTTTTTTTAATTGAAACAGAGTGTCACTATGTCACCCTTGGTAGAGTGCGGTGATATCACAGCTCACAGCAACCTCAAACTCTTGGGCTTAAGTAATTCTCTTGTCTCAGCCTCCCAAGTAGCTGGGACGACAGGCGCCCACCACAACGCCCGGCTATTTTGCTGTTGTTGTTTTGCAGTAATTAAGCCCAGGCCAGGCTGGAACTTACCATCCTCCGTGTATGCTGCTGGCGCCGTAACCACTGTACAATGAATGCCAAGCCAGTGCTCTCACTGGGGCTCTGAGCAGTGCTTCCTTCCCGCTGAGCTCTGCAGACAACTGCCGCTTCTTGGGAGATTATTTTTCTATTTTCTTTCTTTCTTTTTTTTTTTGTTTAGAGACAGAATCTCAATTTGTCACCCTCAGTAGAGTGCTGTAGTGTCACAGCTCACAGCAACCTCCAGCTCTTGTTGGGCTTAGGCAATTCTCAGCCTCCAGAGTAGCTGGAACTACAGGCACCTGCCACAACGCCTGGCTATTTTTTTGTTGCAGTTTGGCTGGGAATGGGTCTGAACCCACCACCCTCAGTATATGGGGCCGGCGCCCTACTCACTGAGCCACAGGTACCGCCCGATTTTTCTGTTTTCCTTGCACTCAGAGACATGCTGCATGCTTGCTTTTCCTGGGGGCTGGTTTTGCAACATGGGGCCAGGGAAATGAATAAGAAGAAATGAAGTTCTGGAGGTGAGAGTTAAACACTGCCTGCTGTGTTAGGGGACGGGGGAGGTTGCAAAGAACCTTTATGGCCCAAGCATAGCCAGCCTCCCAAACCTCCTGCTAGGCCCAGATATGCACGTCCATGTAACATCCACTTCCCGCGCTGAGGTTGAACTTTCTAGCTCAGCTGAGTGACAGAACCAGGTCAACCAGGTTCAGGGGACTGGGAGCCCCCACCCTCAACACAGGTGCTATCTGCTCACCCCGGCCTGTCTTCAGCCAGAGTCCCCAGTCCCCTGATGTCCCCTCTTAGTGAATTTCCACCTACTAATGCCCTCACCTGCCTCCTTCCTTATAAATTTCTGCCTGGCCTGTTTGGCGTGGAGGCCAGTCTCTCTGACCCATGGCAGGGAGGCCACACGGTGTCCCCAAATAAAATCTTCTTGTCCAAGCTTTAACAAGGGCAAGTGAATTTCTTTTTCTTAAACAGTCTTTGGACTCAAAAGTCCCCTAACTCATGAGACAGCCACACAAGAAGGTTTCCAAGCATAGTTTTTAAAGGGAGATTTCTGCAGAAATCCCAGCCTCATCAAAGGCCCCTAGAACCTCAATATTTGAAGCCCCTGTGTTATCAGAGTTGGTCCTCCAGGGGCAAGAAAAAGTGTAGGTTTTCAAACAGGGAAAAAAATAGATATTACTTCTGTAATTTCTTTTCTTATGTTCCTTTCCTCTCCTCATTATTTCTTTTTTTTTTTTTTGAGCATGCTGTCTGCTTCATGGGAATTTAAGGAGAAAAACATTGTTCCTGTCTTGCTAGTTAACTTACAGAGTGTGATTATTTAGGAAAAAAAATGCCCCAAACGTGATATTTGCCCTAATAAAGTTATGCAGGAGTGCGGAGTCTCAGGACAGAAGGGGCATAATCTTCCCATCTTCCTTACAAAAAAAAGTTTTCTTGGGTGGTGCCTGTGGCTCAAAGGAATAGGGTGCCGGCCCCATATGCCGAAGGTGGCCGGTTCAAAACCCAGCCCCGGCTAAAAACTGCAAAAAAAAAAATTTTTTTTTTCTTTTTCACAGTAATTTATTGTATATTATCTATCCAAATTGTGTGTTGTGTATTCATTGCCTGTTGGTGTTTCTGGGACTCTGTTTTGCTGCCCGTTTGCCCTTGGAATCTGCCCTCTATTAATCCTGCCTCTGTTGACCCAGATTCCCTCTGGATTTGGTGCGAGTTCAGCTAAAAGATGTTTCTAAAGAAGGTGGGTGCACAGAGCTGGTGAGACAGAGACAACCTGCCTGGTTAGCAGGGCCACATCCGTAATTCTACCTGAACACTCACCTCTGTGGGTGGCACCTGCTGGCTCCCACTGGGGATTCTGGAAGCTTCTGTGCCTACATGTGATGGGGACTCCTGTTTTCCATTTTGGCCCAAGAACCGCTGCTACTCGGTAGGGAACACTTGGTTTGTTAGACGCTTATTTAATCTCTGCTTTGGGGTGTCCCGTCTGCTTCCTGTAAGGACCGCGATGGATGACCCAGAGGGATAGTTCAACCTCCCCACGTTGGGGTCTGGGGTTTTTCAGTGTGAAAAACCCTGAGTTTCGGAGACCTGATTTCTCCTCTGGGAAAACTGACAGCCACCCTCAGGGCAGGACAAGACAAGGTTCTCTCTAAAGTGAACTGAGTCTAGGATCAAGATTAGAGATTTTTATTTTCCAACCCGGTCAGTCTCTCTCTTCCTCTCTCACAGGTCTGGCCGTTGCGGGGGGCCAGACCCGTGCTCCTGGCATGAGCAGAAAGGGAATTGTCCACAGCACGGCTGCAGCCACGGTTTCCACATGATGTTACTGGTGGAGAACTGCTCAGGCACGGGACTGATGGTCTCCCGGTGCCCCGCCACAGCCTGGGCCACCCTCGCTATCACGGCATGGTACAGGGGCTCTGAGTCAGGGGACAGTGGCTGAGCCTCAGAAGGGTCGCTGGAGAGCTCAAAGAGCAAAGGGGGGTTGTGATGGTTCACACCCTCCCCAGAGCACGGGCAGACGCCTCGGCCGTAGCAGGCCCCTGCTCCCTCAGGGTGGAAGCGTGGGGTCACATAATGCACCTTCCAGACTCTTCCACCTGGATGCAAACAAACAAAAATGGAAAAATCTGCAGGGGACGGAAAAACTTAACTATAGTCCAGAAAGTAGAAGGGAAGAGGAGAGAAAGGGGAGGGGTGGGGGCATATGGGAGAAGGGAACGTATTTGGGGGGACCTCGCCTCATGTGCATGATGCAATGGTACATTTCAAAACTATTAAGAAATGAGTAAAATTGTGATGGATGTGTTAATCAGTTCAAGGTAAGCATTTCACATTGTGTATCAAAGCAGTACACTGAACCCCATAAATGCATCAGTATACAAAGTTATGATTTAGTAAATAATAATAATTATAAAAAGAAAAATCTGCCTGGGCATCAACACCCAACCCAGGAGTGTCATCCCCAAAAGATAGGTGTGAACACCTCAGGTTAAATGAGAAAGGAGAGGGGAGTACAGAGTTCACGCAATTGCAGCCTTCCCTGTGGTCAGCTCAGAGCCTGTGTGTGTGTGTCTGTGTGTACCTGCCTGGTGGACTCAGGGACATACAGACACAGGGACCCAGGGACCCACAGACACAGGGACCCACAGACACAGGGACCCATTTCTGGTGGACCCAAGGACACACAGACCCAGGGACCCATTCCTGGTAGACCCATGGACACACAGACACAAGGACCCATTCCTGGTGGACACAGGGACCCACAGACACAGGGACCCATTCCTGGTGGACACAGGGACCCACAGACACAGGGACCCATTCCTGGTGGACCCAGGGACCCACAGACACAGGGACCCATTCCTGGTGGACCCAGGGACCCACAGACACAGGGACTCATTCCTGGTGGACCCAGGGACTCACACAGGGACCCATTCCTGGTGGACCCAGGGACCCACAGACACAGGGACCCATTCCTGGTGGACCCAGGGAC